TTTCTTTTCTTTTCTTTTCTTTTCTTTTCTTTTCTTCTTCTTCTTCTTCTTCTTCTTCTTCTTCTTCTTCTTCTTCTTTCTTCTTCTTCTTCTTCTTCTTCTTCTTCTTCTTCTTCTTCTTCTTCTTCTTCTTCTTCTCCTTTGACATTGGCTGCTCTCCTCCCTTTGATTATTGAAATAAAATGATGGCCATTTCCCCCTGCTCTTCCCTCTCTCCATACATTTATGTCTCCGGGCCCTCCATGGCCACCCTTCTAGGACACAGATGGGGCGGTCCTTCTCCCTGCGGCTGAGGACACAGGTTCCCATGGAGGATTCCTAGCCCCACATCCTTTTCCATTATGATCATCTCTTCCTGTAAGATGTTTCCTCAACAGTCCTCTGCCTACACCTTCATGCAGTCTTGCTGGGGTGTTGCTGATTTACATGCTCGTTTATAGTTTATGAGGAGGAATAAAATGCACCAACTGCCAAGCTCCTCATTTTTATGATGCCAGTTGTCATGCTAGCATTCATTTCCTATTTACTCACCTTTTGGTAATCGCCTTATCTAATGCTAATAGTTTTATCCATTTAAAGTAGAGAAAAGCCCAGGCGCTTTCTTTTGCCTAAATTTAGAGAAGCAAATAAATAAATAAAGAGAAGTCTGAAAAATCTGAAACCTTTGGAGCCAAATTCCCTGTCCCTGTTTGCTATGTAAAGTATGGCTCATTTCTTTGATCTTGAGTAATAATAATTCTGAGGCGTTATACTGTTTTCATATGCTTCAAAGCTGTGTCAAAGTTTTGCTGCTTAAGGGTACTTCTTTATTCTGTTGGCTCTTGGGTACCAAGATGACAGGTCTTCTGTACGAGGTGGAAGCTTTTTTAAGTCGTAGCCTTCAGCAAAACATCAAATTACCAAATCCAGGGTAACATACTTCTACACAAATGCCTTTCCTGTAGATATATTATACCATATATATTAAATACTTTAGTGTTACACGCTACATTTTATGTGCAATAGAAAGTGATGGTTTGAGGTAGCCTTGGGGGGACTTTTTTTCCACAAGCAGAAAAAGCTAGTGTATACCATATCAAGCATGGTTTTTACAGGACTTTCTGCCCGAAGGCCTTTGTAAATAAGTAATGATCAACAGATTGGCTGTGGGTTTTTGAAAAGCATGCCTATGTCAGTTTGCATGATGGGGGAGAATTTTCAAAGTGGGTCTTGCTTTCATTGCCTGTTGGAGAGGGGCTGAGGGAGCAGTCATCCCGGGCTGGAGCTGTCTGCTCCGTGGTACATCAGAATTGCTAAACGTGGGTCAGGCGGCAGGCTGAAGCTTGCCAAGCTACAGAACTTGGGTTCCTGGTGTTGGTGCCTTTGGGCTACTCTCTGGCCACAGTTACTGCTTTACCCCACCTGCCCACAGCGGTCTCGATGACAGCTCAGCTCACACGGGCCGTCCCATGACAAGTCAGAGGGTCTTTGACGTTCCTCCTTCACCGTGACTTTCTACGTCCCAGGTGCTCTGCATCGTCTTCTGCCGTGGAAGCAAAGACAAGGTGCTGAGCCCTCCATTTCCTTTCACTTCCAGCATGTGAATGAAGAACCCGTGGGCAGTTTCGCTTGGTTTGAATGTCTGGGCACAGACAGGGAGGCGGCCAGGACCTAATTCTGTTACGTGTCTCTTGTTGACTGAGAAGAAAGAGAGGGGCTCATGCAGTCTCTTGTGGCTTCTCCAGGTCACCCCACCTCTTTCAGGACTCCCTTTCAACTCTACAGAAGATAGAACTCTCAGGTCCCATTCCTTCTGACCTGAAAAATCCATAAAGGAAGCTAATGACTTATCTGAAGTGGGCTTTTCGACATGAGTTTGTGGCTTGGCTTGTTTGAGCAGAATCAATCATTCTGAAGGTGGAAAGGTTTTAGGGGCCTATGGACAGTGATAGGAATAGCTCCAGGAGAAACCCGAGAGCCCAGAATGGGGCTAGGATGGGCTTTAATTTACCGCGGTGGCTTCGGCAAATAAAACAGGCTCCTGCACGAGGGTTCCCTGCAAACCATCGGCCAGTGGGAAGTGCTACGGGGACTCTGCACTCATGGTCTTTGTCTCCCCTTTGTTCTGGGATCAGGCCCACCCTGGTTTTTCAGTGTCACTTAGCTCTCCCCACAGCCATTAGGTGAACAGCCTCGTTTTGTGTGTCTGGATCCTGACGCACTAGGTTTTATAGTCGCCTGACAGAAAACAACTCTCACAGCCCGACTGAGCTAAGTGGCAAGTGTCTGTGCTCCAAGCCAGCAAGTCCTGTATCATGACAGATAACCTTCGGCTTCACAAACCCGCCTCAGGAGGAACAGGCCACGGAGTTTCCCAGGTTCCTGTTACCTGCCTTCCTTGTTGATCTCTTAACATGGAATGATTTAAGGAACCTCTCCTCATTTCCCTTTCGAGTCACCAAGCCCTCATTGCCCACTTCACCCTGCTGGTGAGTCTGTGCCTTGTGGGGATGGCTGTGCTTACCTTCCGTTGCCGGGCGGTAGAGGGCAAGAACATTGTCTCTGGATAACCACGTCAAGTGTTCTTAATTTGGGGGTCCCGCAGACCCCGCTGAACATCATATGAAAGCTCTCTAAAAAGGCTCTCTGGGGGGAAAAAAAAAGCACACTGGGCACCATTTTGACTACACTTGAAGCAGATTCATGGATTCCCTCCATACCTGTCTGGCTTACAATCGTTTTCAGTTCTTTCCATGGCCACCTTCAAGGAGTTGTATTCACAAACGCTGGTAGATACTAAGAATATTTCTCCAGCAGGTAGACAGTATAGAGTAAATGCCTGGACTCTCACATGATATCCTCAAATGGGATCCAAAAAGGCTGTGTGTTTCAGCTGTCTGTTTCAATTCCTTTTCTCAGATTAATTCTCATCTAGCAAATGTTTTTTGAAAACCTACTGTATTCGGGGTTGTAGGTCTTTGAGGAACGTAAAATAAGATGGGTTAGAGAAACATATATATATATATGTTTCTACATGTGTAAGTAGAAACAGCTTGGAGATGTACTCACATGGGCTGTGAGAACAGAGGGAGCTGCCATTACTTCTGGTTTGGGAGGCTGAAGCTGGTTTGTGAAGGAGCTTTCATTTAAACCTAGCCCTGGATGATGAGGAGAATTCTCTAGTAATATCAATGCCTACCCTTGTTCATTGTTTACTGGGTGCCAGGCATCATTCCAAGAGTGTTATGGCTGTGAACTCACTGAATCTTAACTCTAACTCCATGAGTAGGAATTACGCTTTCCCCCATTTTACAGATGAAGAAGCTGAGTAACAGAGACATAAAGTCTGGTGGATCTAGTGAGTCTTACCCAGTGAGGAAGATTTGAACCCAGGTGGTTTAGCTTCCAAGTCCATAGTATTAACTCTTTCACTGTTCTGTCCAAGGGAGGAAAGAAGGAGAGTGCTCAGGCCATAGTAAGTGGCTTGGTGTGGCTGGAGCAAGGGGTCCTTAGGGTGGCATAAGTGGACTTGGAAATCTGAAAGTATTCTTGTACCCACTCCTGAAAGCCTTTGCCTTTGCCTTGTCATAGGTACTGGGAAACCCTTGCAAGTTCTCGAGGAGACAGTGTTTTGGGAGGATCACTGGTGGCAGTGTAAGGAGTGGTATAGAAGCAACCCTCCATCAGGGCAGCCTTCTGGAGACACACGTTACATAAATAGAGAGGTGTGAGAAGAAGGCCCAGCCAGCCCCAGCCTTCGCCAAGGTCCTTTGGGCGCCAAACCACTCAGGGTTTGCTGTAGAATAGTGGGCCAGAAATGGGCCACAGTCTTCCCAAGAAGGACACACAGCACTCCTGATGTGAGTCCATGTTACACCTGTTTCTCCAGGACCTCGGAAACTTGGAGTCGGATAGAGGGGCCATGAGCCGTGAGGACACGTGCAGGATGTGTTTACCAAAGAGATGGTCCCCAGCCA